TTTGTTGTAAATGAACAACACAGAGTGCGACGAAATTTCGGACCGGCGCAGTATTGGTAGGTAGCAGGACTTCTGGAGACTAAGCCGAGCACGGAATCCGAAGTAACAGAGCAACAAACATCCAAATCAATTTGGGGTTTAGGAGTTTGGGCTTTAGGGTTGACCTTGAACTACCATAACCTACCTTTTTGTAGATCCTTAAAATACAAACCCTAATACAGAAGTTATCATCAGGGCGACACTACCGATAAGTAGGTTTTGGTAGTTTTGGGTTTCGGGGTTTAGACACTGTAGCCCCACAGCCCTCTGTAGGGCTCGTTGAAACAAGGATTCCACTGGTTAATGTCCATCAGACTACTGGTAATTATTTAGGCATTATATGAGCCCTAAGGGTCCATGTACGCAAATAGTAAATTCTTTGGCCCTAAAATACCTATATAGGGACTACTTTAAGGCCAAAGTATGTAGTATCTAGGCACATGGACCCCGAGGGTATTGTACCGCATTATCTGGAACTCCCACATGATAGACCCTAACCCACCGCCACAAACCCTAAAACCTAAAGCACAGAACCCCAAACCCTTGACCCCAACACCCTAAACCCCCAACACCCTAAACTCTAAACCCCTAAACCCTAAACCCCTAAAGCCTAAACCGTGAACCCCAAACACCGGGCAACAATATGTGGGGCTCCTTTCAACTGAGCCTTATCGTAAATAAAGACTGAGATTCCTTCACAAGGTTCCCGCTCAAAGATACTCGTTCTCCAACCCTGAGCCTACACACCTTCGGGTTTAGGGTTTATCGTTTGGGGTTTAGGGTTTGGGGTTTAGGCTCGATTCCCTTTTTCCGCCATCATATCTAGCCCCCTGCCCGGAACCTGGACAAGAATATAACGCAACAACAAGCGCAGGGTTCAAACTCTCAGCCCATGAAGATCATAAAAATCTCCATAATGCCCTGTGCAACTGCTTTGAAATTCAGAAAACCCTAAACCCTCACTGGTTTGACACCCTCGAAAGACCCGAAAAACCCAAACCCTAAACCCTAACTCACCCCTCTCAGACCTCCCTTAACTCAACCCTAGCTGAACCTCAAACACCCTCAAAGGACCCAAGGAAGCAAGAGGCCTCGATTCGGTCTTAACCAGAGAGTCGGGATGCTGCGGACCATCGCTGGTCCAGCCACTCACCTCAAAGCTTAGGGTTAAGGTTCGGGTAAAGCTTAGTGTTTTCTGTTTCTCACGACCCAAACTGAATTTTTTGGTGTGCGAATTGGCCTGAACTGCTGGCTTTCTGCCTTTAATGACCCAGGCTTGTTGTTTGCCACTTTCAGTGACCTAAACTTAGACTCATGGTCTCATGGTTTCTGTTCTTCAGTTCTTCATAAGTCTTCTGTGCTTGGGTTTTGCACTGCTTCTTTTAGGATTTGGGGTGGTTTTGTCGGTACAAGATGTAGATGTCCATTCTGCTTGTTTCATGTGTCAACGGACAGTTGCGGCTCAAGGCAGTGAGGTTTTAGCCTACGAGATATATAAGGTTACAGGGCTTTTAGGGTTTGGGGTTCGGGGCTTAGGGTTTAGGGTTCCACTGATTTTTTTAGACACCCCAGAGCCCTCAGCCCCAATCCCAAAGCCCTGCAGAGTCTGGTAGAAGGAGGAGATAAGCCCATGGGGACTCTGGTATGCAAGCTACTGAAGGTCGGTAGAAACGAGGCAAGATGACTACATCCTAAACCCTATAAGCCCTAGGCCCTAAATCCTATGTACCTGAAGCACTGTACTAGCACTGCAGCAAGGAAGCAAGCCACGCCAGCTTCTGCACCTGACCCGATGTCGATTGTCGGGCTTCGGTTTTTAATGCAGTGGGTTCCTTTAAAGGGTTCCTCTTGTCAGGGTTACTATATTGCGGTTTTGTGGGGGTTTAATGTATAGGGGCCTTCGGAATTAGAACAGGG